ATTTATACCTCAACTAAAGATCCATCTCCTTCTGGAATAACAAAATGTACCCCTCCACTAGGCTGCTCTAAAGAATATTCCACACTTATTTTAATACTTGTTCCATCACTTACGGATGTAGTAATTTCTGCAGGTAGACTTATAACTAATTCCCCATTATTGTTATCGGGTTCAGTTATCTGAGCAGCATTTAAATGAGATGCAGAAAATGCAGTTAATGTAGGTCTAAACAGAAATAGTAATGACATTTAAATTTAAAAAAAAATTGCCTATGAGAAATTATTAAATTTAATATTTAAATTGTAGGTAAATACATACTCTTCATCTTTATTTTGAGTAATGTCAACAAATGGATCAAAATATTGGAAAGGAACTTCAATATTTTCATTAACAGTTACACGATATATACGACATTGTTTTGCATTTAATTTTATAAATTGAAGATTATTTTTCAATGGTATGATTGTTAGTTCTACCATTCCCTAAAGCAAAATAATAACATTTGACACTTTTATAAAATGTTTGTTCCATAAATTAACTAATAATAATTTAATATTTATACTTATTTACCAATATATTTTTTCGTTGAAAACTAATGCCTGTCAAACTAACCAATTGATGGGCTGTAAAATATTTAAAACATTAATATTATTAAATTAAATAATAGTTTAAAATAATTAAAATAACATTAAATTCTATAAAAACTGTGACTATTTTAATTTATTAGAATCATAGACAATTGTAAAATAAAATCTAATAAATTAATATTATTATATGATTAACTACCCAATAAGAATTTTAGAAATAACACAAGATCAATTTAATTTAGTACCAATCAATTTATCAAATCAGTTTTTAATAAATATAGTCAATTGATCAGAAATAGCTTTTTTATTATTAATTAGGAACAGAGCATAGGTTCATTTTAAAATCTACTTCAAGAAATTATGGTTGATTCAAAGCCGATAGTTTAATACCACCCATATTGGGCCGATTTGGAAAATTTAACACAAATTTGCACTCTTAATAAGACAATGAAATTGTGTCATTGGAGGTAACAACAATACTTCGATCACAAAATACTTATAGTTTATAAGGTCTTGCGGTGTCCCCCGTTTTATCCTTCTTCATGATGGTTGTGGTATATGATTTTGATTTTTTAGTTGTTTTGTGGTATGATCGGTGCTACACTACTAAGCATCTAAATGACCAATTTCGGCACATCATTCATAGGTAATGAAATAAAAAATACATATTATACACTCAGTGGTTCAAGACAAACCACATTCCGTTAATTTTTGACTAGAGCAAGTAGTAACAATAAAATTATGAACTATGAAGTACTAACAAGTAACAACTAACAACTATATTATTATCATGATAGAAATAATTTCTATCATGAATATCATAATTTATAGTGCATTATCTTTTATCACGTCAGAATGTCAGACATTATCCTCGTCAATTAATCGTTAGAGCGGCAAGTGTCATAATTCCTCGGTACAGTGTTGTCGCTAGGTCAAAACATAAAGTCGGATTCACTGCTACGTCGAGGTTGTTACATATCACATATCATTAATATATCTAAGACCGGCGTGGTTGTTGTTGTCATAGTCATAGACGATAGACATAATATGATCATAATATGTTGTTTATATATGTCTATGGGTATACATCAAGTAGATCTTTAATCGTGCTCTAAACTATAACTTAAGATAAACCGGTTAAGCTTAAGAAACTCGGTTATGATTATTGACTATTGAGGCTCTAGTCCATCAATCCTCGGATACCAGCCAGAATGATTTCTAGCGCTCCATGCGGTAATATTAAGCTTTATTTATATTTTTCCATGATCCTTTTTGAATTTTCCATTTCCCGTGTATTTCAGTTTTAACTTACCAGGTTAATAACACAATATTTTAAGATTTGAATGAGATTTTTCTTGATTTTTTACTTAAATAAACAATTATAATAAATTACCGTAACACGGATAGTTATAAAACATTTATTAACACAATACCTAACTGGATACAAGTTTTGAAAGTTCACAAAACCAATATTCATGGGTAGTGAATTTGAACTTTCATAATTTATCAATATATTACTTTGAATAACTACCTCAGATATTGATTCAATTACACTGCCAGATAACTGCAGGGCATTTAAAATCAATTTATTTTTAATATACTTGTGTTATTGTTATTAAAATTATAATTCATTCAAACCTCAATACATGCTCGTTTGGCAAGTGTATTGGTTCAAACTCATCATTTAGTTTAATTAACTTTAAAATAATTATGTTCATTAAGCATTGTCATGGTTTCATTGGCCTTATATGTTTAAGATTGTAAAAATAAAATGTTTAAATATTCAATAGGTTGCTAATATAGAATTATGCCAATTTTTTTCTATTAATATATCTATACTATTTCCCAAACTAACCTGGTTTATATCATATACAGATATACTTCATAACTCAAATTATTGATTGATATAACTCTTGGATTTTAATTAAGGCTTTCTTAAACAAATTTAAAAAAGTACCTATTATTAAACCAACTAAAGAAACTTGAATCTAATAAATTCTAATTGAATTAGGTAATCGTATATGATTTCAATAGGACATACGTCATACCGAGATTTGGCTACTTCCATTACCAGAATCCCATGTTAATATAAAATCACTAGGTTTAAAGTGCTTGGCACGAACTTTTGAACTCCTGTTTAAAGGACACCCGATACTATTTTCCCAAACATTAATCATGTTTTTAGGAACACCAAATTTAGATGCAGCACTTTGACTACACCTAGAAACACAACACGTGTTGGAAACCATATTGGAATAAAGAAAAAATTGTAAAGTGTACAAAATAAACTACTAAAAAGTAAAACGGTTTAAAATGGAAATTGGTGCAACACTGATACTTATATCTTAGTTTGTGTCTTAAAGGTGCCTTCACAGCGGTCGCTTGCTCACGGTAAAACGTGATAATTTTAATTAATTTATAATTTTTCACGTCTTTTTTTCCCGTAAACTTCATGTAATACCACAGAAAAAAATTATACCATTAATATTATTTATAGGTTAAGATTTTTTTTAAAATAAAATCGGGAAAAATAGAATACTGTTAAAATAATTTTCGTAATTCTTACCTATTTTATTTATTTAGGTATACTTCATTGTAGATTCTGAGCGGGGAAGTGGATGTATTGGTAATGATGTGTGTTTTTATTTTTATTTATTTATTTATTTATTTGTGACCGTCATCACGATTTCTTGCAGTAAAACTGTAAAAGTGCTTCGATTTTCTTCAATAGGCACTTTTCTGTTAGAAAAGTGAATCTAGTTGGTGCATTCGGGAGGTCAAAATTAATATTCTCAATAGTTTTCAAAAGTAACAGGAAAAACAAACAAAACAATAAGGAGAAACTGGAATTTGTACGCAAAACCAGTTATCGAATAAATCGATTTTGGTTGTTCGTGCAACTCTAAAAATAAATACCGTAGAATGTAGAAACATGCAATTTTTACAGAATGTTCACAAAGAATGCTCTAATTTTATTCGTTGGAGGTATTCAAAAAACAACTATGGAGTGTCCTTGTTTTTTAAAAACGGATTTAGTTATAACTCACCCTACTTTTATTTCTGTGCATACTGATCATGTGCATCAAGGGAATAGAAATCTTATTTCTGCTACAAAAATAAAAAACTTAAGCTAACGTAAGTCATATCTTAAGTAGTTGTAATTAAAAAATTATATTTTTAATTGCATTATTATAATAATTATTTAGGTAATATTGTATTTTTAATTTTAAACTTTTTTAATTAATTGACTTTTCCTAGTGTAGCACCTTTTTTGTAGGGACTTTTTTTCCTAGCGTGGGATTTTTTTTCTCGATTCCTATATAATATACTTATTCTATATATGTATACCTAGTGTACACTCTACAGTGACTAGTTGCTAGTTGCTCCATATTTTTCGATCAATTTTTTCCCCATAAGTATGTGTATTGAATTTGAAAAAAATTGTCATTTTGTCATGTCAGCATTAAAATTATAAAAATATTTTTATTCTATGTACTTAAAGAATATACATTTTTCAAGCGCTTAGGTACCTATTTGTTTTCCTATTTAAATTGGAATATAAATTTATATAGTCATTTTTTTAATACCCCTCCCCCATTTTTCCTTTTAACAATAATAATTATAATAGTACCGTACTATATACTATTCTACTTTGTAGTTATAGAAGTTACTTATTTCTTTAATATATTTTACAATTCTAATTAAATACTTATTAAACAAAGACATCTTCTTCAACATCTTCGACATTCTTCGTCTGTATCCCTGACTTCATGGTTGCGTGAAACTTCGAACTGTAAAACAAGAGAGCACACCTGTCATTCTATCAAACAATATAGGTATTCAATTTTATTATTTCAAGTTTATAATTTATAATTGTAGGTAGATCGATCTAAAATTAAATATGTACCTAATTTAAATTTATTTGGTTATAGAGTAATTAACTAACTGATAATTATTAATTACTCTGCAATTTTAGTCTATTGCCTATAATCAGTAATTACAAAATACTAATTGACAAATTGGTTTATTTTTTATTGGTATGTAATATTGCAATTTGTCAGTTTACCATTATCTACATTGATTTTCAAATTTTGTCGTCGAACGTTAAAAATATGAATACAATTGTATATTATAGGTTATACATCAAAATATCCCTCGCAATAGATTATTTTCAATTTGAATGGTTCAAATCAAAAAAGCTAATTTTGATTGAGTAGTAATAATAATATCAAGCGTCTAAAATAAATGTTTAAGATATGATAACTTGAATTAATATTAATTAATTAAGTAGTTATAATTAAGTTATTCATGAAAGAAAAATGAAAATCAATGTACCTTTGATAATAAAGTAAGTTGGTACGGTTGTCATTCTTATCAAGTTAGTTTCTTTCATTTTCACTACATGATAAAGTCACAACTCAATAAAAAATTATTTTATATTAATTTCTTAATTTTAGTTTTAATTTCTCATTGAATTGTGGTTGTGTTTTAATTACGTTCAACAAATAACCATTATTATAGTACACATACATACCTACATATAAATACATTTCTTTGTTTACGATGATTATTCAAGAACCTATCCAAGTAAGTAGGAAGTTCTTGTGAATAAAACTTATGCCAACAAAGATGATTGATGGTTTTGAAGTTTAAAATATGGAATTTAACATACATATTTATTTTGCCTGTAGACAAAATTATCAGATAAATAAAACTTGTTTAATTTGTATACTCGAAAGTGAATTAAGTTTTTTTTTATGTGTAGTTGCTGTAGGTACAATGCATATTAGATTAGTAGTTTAAGAATAATTATTTTCAATTTAAACGATTCTAATAACATTTGAATGGTTGAATAATAAACTAATAAATAAGACTAAAGTATAATATTATATGTAGATTTAATTTTCCTGCTTTTTGAAACTGTTATTAAATAAATAGCTGCTTACCTTTATGGTAGATAGTTGAAGATTTAAAAGTCAAAAAATAATTTAGTCAATTGTTAGATATGTATTCACAATTTAAAATTTTATTCTATTAAATTATTTATTTAAAAAAAAAATAACTGTTCTAAATCAAATCAAGTGAACATAGGATTGAAATATTAAAGAATATTTATGTGAAATTGTTCTTATTTTATTTAAAATTCCAATTTTGATTTATTTTTACAATAATTTTTTTTCGCTTCATATCTTAACTATCAATATTTACTGATGTACTGTCAATAAATGAAAAGTCAATGTTTTTAATATTCTTGTTGCTTAAGTATATTTTACTATTATATTATTGTATAAATTATTAATATACTTATGTACTATGTAATTTATTATTTCACAGGCTGCAATTTGGCATTGTTTAAATCATTATGCTTATTCAGATGCAATATTTCTTGCAGAACGATTATGTGCAGAATGTAAGTTTTTCATATATTTTAATACGTTTTAATAAGAATAGAAAGTTTAAAGTTAACAGGCTTATATCTGTATTTTTGATCGAAGTATTTTAAGTTCATTGTCTACTAAAATTGAATTATCTTAATATTTTTAACTATTAATTTATAAGATTTGTAGTACTAGCAAGGATTGTGGTCTCAATATTAAATATCATCATACTTTTGACACAATTCAAGTTAATGTTTTACTTAATCATATCATTTTTAGTTTTATAATTTAAATGTATTTTACTAGTATTCTTTTCAATCAATGTTTTATTGGTTTTTTAAATTTATTTATTGATCAATAAACCTGGCAAGTGGCAACTACATTGGCTGTTTGGGGAGAGGGGGCTTGTTTGGGACACATATTTTTAAGGATTTTGTTGCTAAAAATATCGAGTGGACACTCATTTGGGAGCCAGCAATGCCAACCAGTGGGTACACTCAGAGCTCATACGTAACTGAGTGTAGACACTACTCAACACCGCTTCACTATTTCTAAAAAATGTAGTATATTTTAACTTCTTCAGTCTCTATTTAAACCTTTGTCAGAAAAAAAATAGTAATAATAATTACCTATCAAATTTAAAAATAAATACATTGTTTTGGTACCTAATTAAAAAATAATGTTGTTTTATCATTTTAATTAATAAATATCTTTTGGTTAATATTTATTATTTCACCTCAAGATTACAGACATTAAAAAATTAATAAAAAAACTAATATCTTATTGATTTTTAATAATGTATTCAAATAATTATATTATAGTTGATTCAGACGAAAGCATCTATTTATTAGCTACCTGTTATTATCGATCGGGTAAACCATCTCAAGCATATACAATTCTAAGTGGAAAAAAAATAGTGTCAGAAAAATGCAAATTTTTACTAGCCCGTTGCTGTGTTGATCTTCACAAGTATGTATACTTGAACATTATATTTCTCTTTTTGTACATCTGAGTTAAAATTATAATAGTCATTTTTTTATTGGGAGTATTCAGCCAATTACTAGTATATACTAAAAAATGTACAGATATATTGTGTTTTATTATCTTATTAATTAATCTGTTCAATAAACTTGTAGGTTGTCTGAAGCAGAAACTGTGTTAACTGGTAATGTGGGTGATTTAATATCATCTTCATCATGTTCATCATTTATCGAAACCATAATTTCTGATTATGGTGACAGTGCTCCATTTGCTTTGCAACTGATAAGTCACATTTGGTGGCGTTCCGAGAGATCACATTTAGCTGCTGAGGCCTGCCGTAAGGCTCTGTATTTAAATCCTTTTTTGTGGCAATCATTCCAAGACCTATGCGACAGAGGTGTTAAACCTGATCCTGAACCCACTAAAATATTCAAGGTAAAATATTTAAAATGTTAATATATAAATTGTATTTTGATTTATGTATTCTTATTATTTTTAGGTGGACAATTTAGACAACTTTAATAAATGCCTAGGTTCGAATTCTCATGTCAATTCAACACCTTTATCAACATATAATCTTTCATATGAATCAATAAATACATTTAATAGGTAAGTTTGTAATGATTTAACATTTTGGATGTCATCACTGAATAATGAATGGTGTATTTAACATGTTATTGACATTATTTTTTTCTGTCATTCATGAAATTAGTATTATTATGTTGGGAAATTATTGGTCTAAAAATATGATTATTTAAACACAATATTGGATGTTAATTTGTTTATAGATTACAACAAAAATTTGTTTTAGTATTAATATAATTTCAATTCAGTCATTATGATAATTTTTTAATCATTAAAAATTATTTTGAATAATTTTACTATTTTATATATTAAAATTTGACTAATTTTCGTCAAAATAAATAATTATATTTTAACGGAATAATTTGTACACCAAAAACATTAAAAGTTGTTATAGAAAGTTGTGTCTAATAACTATTTGGAATAAATCTTCTTACTAATGTAAATAATATATTCTTTCTATGTCACAGTTTAATTATTGTGATCATTTGTAATGTGCTAAAGTCGTTAAATAGGTAGAAAAATACATAAGTGTTGTGGCTGTTTAGAGCTAACAGAAAAATACACAGTGCCCTAAAAAACTTAAACATCCTAATGATTTTACAGCAGTCATGGCATCTAATGTGTTTAGATATTTATGATATCACATCTGAATCTATGATAATTTATTGTTAATTCTAGTAGCACACCAGCTCAAAAAATGGTCAACATGTCTGTACCTAGTAGTAATAGTTCAATATCCAGTGGTATACAGCCATTTACACCTGATATGAATAATGCCAAAGCAATATTTGTTCGACCAATAGGGAGAAAAGTAAAAGTTATTAATGAAAATGCTTACAGCCCACTGACACCAAGGTAAATTTAATAACAAACAACTTTTTTTTGGAATAAGATCATAGCCAAATGTCTGATGCTTTTTCAGGCAAATTGTTGTCTCATAGAGTATACTAAGATGTATAATAAGTCTATGTTGATTAATTTTCTTTATATGTTTATATGAATGTTTTCATTAGGGCTTAGATTTAAATACCCTTAAAAATATCAAAAAATGTCATATGATGAAATGCATTATTGATGTCCAAATAACTAAAAAAATGTACTAGAAGAATTCCCCAGTAACTGACTCCAGATTTCTTCAGAAATCAATATAAATTTTGTGAATCGGTTTATCTAAAAACTAAATTACCTTATGTTGTTTTAGTACAATATTTATATTTTTAAATTTTTTGTAATATTATGCAATAGGTTTACAAAATGTCTTATTATCACTTGTAGGTATACTGTTTGTTATTATTATTATTTTGTGCGGTTTTTCCAATATATTTATTTGTATGTATAGCAGGGAGATGACAAATCTGAGCGACGGGGTTATAACAAACCACTACCAAAAGATAAAAAAATGACCTAAAAACATTTAACAACGCACTTAAATGTAAAAAACCTCAGAAAATTCAAATTATGCCTCCAAAAAAGTTGTTAGCATAGCATAACACATTTGCATCATGGAAAGCGTTGTGTCTAGCATTCCAGAAAAAAAGATGCAAATGCTTTGAAATCTGAGATCTTGTCACTTTATTGCTCATCATAGATGTTTATACCATATTATTTGAACAATCATAATACATCAATTCAACATAATTTGTTAGAAAGATATTAAGACTTCTTCAAATAATGTCTTTATTTATTAATAGAAACTTTTTTTGGTTCCTGGCCTGTAGAACAAACTCTCCATCCCTCTCTTTGTTTGGCTGCATAATTTACATCTATGTTTACACAATCTTCTCAACTTGGGTGTTGCCTATCTAGTATCTACCTAGTTGTATTTTTATTAATAACTCTTCTTCAATTATCATTGGTACTGGTTAATTATAGCCCCGCCATCCATATAACAATAAATACATCGTATAAATATAAAATAATGAGTTTATTTATTGATAATATAATGTTTAAAATTCAAAGGAATCTAAGTACTATTACTTTTAAGTAGCTAATAATTAATAATATAATAAACCGGTATACCGGTACTGACAGACATTTTTTCGACTTTTACATGGCAGAATTTATGTGGCGATCAAAACTAAACAATAATGATCCGTTTGACACCATCTTAAAAGATATAGCAGAATTTTGGGAATCATAGAATCCATGATTTTTAATATTATAAACATTTTTATACATTTTTTAATTTAATTTAATTTTTATTGATTGTTTTAAAAGTATGATTATTCCATATTTTAAATTTTTAAATATTATATCAATGTACCTATCATCAAATTAATAGATTAATATCAATAAATAAACTCATTATTTTATATTTAATAATGTATTTATTATTATATGGATGGCGAGGCTATAACAAACCTGAGTGGCGGGGCTATAGCAAACCAGTATCTTATCATTTCAATCATGATTGGTATTGTTTTTCAGCCATGCAACCTGGTCAAATTAAGGTTGCGGTATGCAAATACTGTGTTTCTAATGTTGAGTAATGTGCTACCCATATAATTATTATCTCCTGTAATCATTTTTATGCACACTAACTGTAACTCCAATACTATGGAATTTTTTCCTCTTGATAGTAGAGGAATTGTACTCCAATTGTATTATATTATTATATAGTATATTTATATTTCAAATTACATAATGGTGGATTTAGTTCTAACTCTTTATACATTTGGTCATAGTCTTATTTAAAAAAAATATAATCGTTAGTTATAAAAACTAAACTTATGTTTGTTATTTTGAAAATAGTTTTGGAGTATTCCCCCTAGAGAATTCAGATAATTTGTCTGTTTGTTCATCCCAATCAATGGTTTTAGTTCCTTCAACTACATTAAACGAAACTAATGATCAGAAATTCATATCAAAAAGAGTAAGTTTGGAATATTTGAAATTTATTTTAAAATCTTTTTTATTGCTGGTATTTACTTACAATACTTTTTATGTTAAATTAATAGAGTTCTAAACCAGTATTTAGTCAGTCAGGGAATACAAGTAATATTAATAATTTGGGCACACAACAAATAACCATGCCTTCAAGTCCAATGTCACATGTTGTAAGACGTAGTAGTCGAATAATCACCAACAATTGTTCAGTAAAGGTAACTTATTTTCAAATTAAAATCTATATTTTCAACTTTTAAATAATAATAATGTAAATAAAATAAAATATTTATATATTTTATACAGGAAAATACTAAGAGTCCAAATAAAAAGTTTGCTAGCCCAAAATCAGCCACACGTAAAATTAAAAGTGGATTGATTCCTAAAAAGTCGGTTTTTGCTGATATAACTGAAAGACATCCAAAAGAACGTGGAGTAGTTGAAGTAGAAACATTAACACTTGCTCAACAAGCTCTCAGTTTACAAAAAAAAACTACAGGTGACAAATAACAAGTTAACTCAATTTGTATTTTTTTTTTGTTATTATGAGTATTAATAATACAATAAAACAATTTTATATTTAATTTTTTAGAAGGACTTTTGTCATTACTAAGAGATATTGGAATAGCATATTTGCAACTGTCAAAATTTAATTGTAAAAAGGCAATTCAATTATTTCAAAGTTTACCGCCACGACAATATAAAACTGGTTTTGTATTATCAATGATTGGCAAAGCATATTGTGAACAGTCTGATTATTTACAATCGATAAAGTATTTAAAAATTAATCTAAATTAATGTTTATTAAATTACTATGATTAATTTAAATTATCTTCCATAGATATTTTAGCGAAGTCAAAGAACATGAACCATATAGAGATACATTAATGGAACTTTATAGTACATCTTTATGGCATCAACAGAAAGAGGTTGCTTTGTCTGCTTTAGCACAAGACATGACTGCTTTAGATAGGAATTCTTCATCTACATGGTGTGTTGTTGGTAATTGCTTTTCCTTGCAAAAAGAACACCAAACTGCTATAAAATATTTTCAAAGAGCTATACAAGTGAGTAAATATTATTTTATAATAATGATTTGTCTTTTTCTACTATGAAACATTTGTGCACAATTTAGATTCTGAGCGGAGCAATGAATGTATTGGTTTTACAATGATGTGTGTTTTTTTTATTTTGTGTCTGTCATCACGGTTTAGGGCAGTAAAAGTGCTTTGATTTTCTTCAATAGCAACTCATCCGTAGGAAAGTGAATCTAGTTGGTGCATTTGGGAGGTCAACATTTAAAATTCCTAATAGTTTACAAAAGCAATAGGAAGAACAGGAATTTTTACTCAAAACCAGTTTTTCAAATAAATCGATTTTGGTTTAAGTGTAACTCTAAAAATAAATACTGTAGAATGTAGATATGTGCAATTTTTACTGAATGTTTCTATTCCCATTTTCTAAAGACCATAACATTTCAAAAGTTCTTTTGACTCGTGTTGGACTATTTATAGGCAAATTAATTAATGTCTATTAAAAAAATAATATCTCTGTCAAAAAACTTGAAAATATAATAGAAGGTTTCTCATAAGTTGTTGTTAGTGGAAGTTAAAAAAAAATTTGTGCGTTATCCCCAACAATTTTTATGAGCATTTGAACCTAGAATTTTGACAAAATGCATAAAAATCCCTAGAATTACAAAATTATTATGAGTTAGAAATGCATGAAAATTTTATTTTTGTATCTTAGATTTGAAAATTTAATTCAAAATTCCTTATAAGTTTGTCTACCTTTATCAAACTTCATTAGATTTCTCATGTAGCGATTTTCTTATTTTGTTGTAGTTTAAAAATGAATAACTATAGGTACTATACTTGACATTTACACCATGTTTGTATTATTAATTCATGTACTTGATAAAATTTTCAAAATATCCTGACCGCTTTTGAGCGGTTTATGGACATTTAAAATAAATGTCGATTAAGTTTTATTGGTTGGATCAAAAAGCATGAAAATTTATTACAAGACTTGATACACTGTTACAATGCCAGTTGAAGAATATTAAAACTACATAGGCACAATTTTTTTTATAAGCATTTAAAGTTAAAATTTATACAATTGAAAAATTATTTTGTAGTTAAAAATGTATTAAATGTTCAACTTTTATATCTAAGGATTGAAAATTTAAAACAAGGTTTTATGTAATTATTTTATTCTGTAACCGATAAATTTTAAGTTATTTTAAGTTCAAATTTAAACAAAATTACATATATTTACATACAGAATAATGATTTTAGTAATTTTTTTGTAATTTAGTTCTAAAACAGCCCAATTATACATAAGTATACTTAATATTTTTCCAGCATCACTGATAATTTAAGAATAATGTTCAACTTATCGGCTACCATAATAATAATAAGTAATAACAGTACAAAATATCCGAGACTGACATACCGTCACCGTTCAGAATTGTTTTTCATGTACAATGATATGATATTAAATTCAAATTTAATATTATCCATTACAGCAACCTTCTAGACACCTAATGTGCAGTAAAGCGACATTCACTTACCTCTCTTTTTATTATTTTACTTATAGGTGAATCCAGATTTTCCATATGCATATGCACTTTTAGGTAATGAGTATTTAGTCACTGAAGAACTGGAAAAAGCAATTACTTGTTTCCAGAAAGCCGTTAAATTAGATCCAAGACATTACAAATCTTGGTAAAAAAATTTTTATATATTATATTTAACTTCCTAGGTATTTTATTGTAATGAAGTTTATTACTATATTATGCATTATTATTTACTATACTCAATTAAATTTTCAAAATATTTAGAATTCATTTTAATTTCTTATTTCATGAACCTATTAACATTGTTCTATAGTACGTTGATATATTACATTATTATTTTAGGTATGGAATTGGTGCTATTTATCAAAAACAAGAACGGTATGAATTAGCTGAAATGCATTATAAGCGAGCTCTTAGAATAAATCATAGTAGCGCTTTAATCATGTGTCATATTGCCGTTGTAAGTATAATGAATTCTAGTAGCCTAAATCAAAAGTTTCTTGCTTATCATTATATTTTATATTATAATTGTAATACTTCAATAATTTTCGTTATGTCTCAACATTTCTTCACAGGTACAAAATAGTATGGACAAACCTGACCAAGCGTTACATACTTTACACATAGCTTTAACATTAGAACCTAAACATCCAATGTGTAAATATCAACGAGCACAAATTTACTCTAAACTCGGTAAATTACCAGAAGCACTGTATGAGTTGGAAGAATTGAAAGAAATTGTGCCAAAAGAATCTCTAGTCTATTTTTTAACTGGAAAAGTATGGTGTAGTACCATTGATTTTCTTTAGTTTTTAATTTTCATCTTTCTTAGGTACATAAAAAACTAGGCAACATACACTTGGCATTAATGAACTTTAATAGAGCCACTGACTTAGATCCAAAAGGGGCCAGTAATCAAATTAAAGAAGCAATAGATCCGACAAATAATCAATCACCATTGGATGATTCAGGTTAGTGTATATTATCTAAAATTCATGGTAAATGTCAAACGTTTGTTTTATTTTGTTGAAAAACAATGCTTATCAAAAGTACATTTAATGTTTTTGATTATTGTAATTATGTCCATCTATTCATCATATCAAATCTATTATGCAACAGTAGTTTTGAAAGTGCTGGCTAATGAGAAAGTATTTTATAAAAAGTCAATTCACTCTAATTTTAAAGATAACAGAGTAAAATGGATTGTTGTTAACATAGAATTTGTTATGTTGTATGTTTGTAAGACAAAGACAACACATTTGGGTGCCACAGCCTCTTAAACAAAATTAATATAGGTTGCATAAAGTGAGATGGAATTAACTGTTAATTTGTAGGTCTATTAACATTTTAGTAAGGAGAGACTGGACATTTTAATATAGCTTGAGACTATCATAAAAGCACCTGAGATTAAGGATGTAAGACAGATTAATATATTTTAGTTGATTATAACTACATATAGCTGGTTAATAACCACGCAGTTGATGCCATAAACAATTAATGAAAAAAAAACTTTATATAGGGCTTTAAAGTTTGTTTTAGTGGTGGGGATAAAATCCAAATGTTCAAAGTATCTGAGTATCCAGATTTAAATCAAATTTTGATCAGGATTTGCTGAATAATTAGGGTTATCCAGATTTCTAGTTTTCTTTTTTTATTTGACTTAGCGCAGTACAACACAAGACTAGTCATAATATGTCAGAAATAAGATGTACTTAAAAAAATCATTATATGCCATCACTAGTTTGTTTAAATTGAAGAATTTTGGTGAGGGTAGCCTTTTACTGAAGTTAGGAATATTTACGTTTTTCTGATGACTATTATTATTGGTTTTGATTTATGACAAACATTATCATTGTTATTTATCATATATTTAAAGGCCATTATAAAATTAGATAACAGCATGTACATTAATAAGCAGTACAATTATGTCAATAAATAAAATGAAGCTATGTTGTTGTATAATTTTTAGTATTAATCTGTAATTGATTTTAATTTATTTTTTAATAATAATAATAATAATATTTTATTATTAATTTAAAAGTTTGTATGTAAAAATCTGAATAAAATTCACCAAAATTGTATGCTGATGAATTTGATATGATGAATTGAATTTTAATACTAATTTTAAATAAAGTTCAATAGTATTAAAATTTAAAAATTGACATATCAACAGCAATTTAATTAAATGAAACTGAAGTTATATGATAAATATAATCCTAATAATGAAAATAACTATATTGACATGTGATAAAGTATTATTATTTATAATAATTATATACATTTTTATTTTTTTAGATGACCCTTGATGCAGTAACTTAATTGTTTGTTTATGTATTTATTTATTTTATAACATTATAATCTATATTATCTTCTTAACTAATATTTTTAAATTGTTTATTGCCTTGAAAATTTATTTTTAGTGGTTATTTAAAAAAAAATATATTAATAAAAAAGACTGTTGAGATGCATCCATTAAATGAAAGCTGTTTTTGGTTAAAAACTACAAATAAAGTATATTGTAGAACCAAAGTCATTTTTAACAATTCCTATTTTGATTTGTTTATTTTTTTTTAAATTTATTTTTTATTCAGTAAATAAGTTTTGTGGCTTGTAATAAAGTTCCTGATTTTTAGAGCTCATTTGTATTGTTAAAAATATAATATTAGTGTGCATAATTCTTTATTAATCTAAATTTACTTGGAATATTTTATTGCCAGTATCTTATTGTTTTGTACACCATGAAATGTAAATTTACATTTTGTAAGCAACCTCTTATATAAATTAATTGTTTCATTCTATTATTATACACATTTGAAAGTTCTTATGAACATGAAAATTATTAGTTTAATTCAAATTGTTATTCTTTTTATATAAATAAAAATTGGTAAATGTTAGTATAACTAGTTATATTATGTATAATTAAATATAATTTATCTATCAATATTTATTAAATTAATCTAGCTCTAAAAATCTAAGCCACAAAATAAATATAAAATTTTATTTGACTAACATCAATAAAATCAATAGTTTTTCAATAGTTTTTAACAATGTTTATTTCTGTAGTAATATTATAATAATACTAATAATATTACTGTTATAAATATTTTACTACAGAAAACATAAAAAATGTTTAAAACAATAATTGCTGAGGTAAATATAACATTACACAATGTGAGGTTCTATGCATTTAAATGAAAAATATCTTCATTTCCATTACTTAGTACCAAATGTACAACCAATGTAATTATATTTAATATGTATTGTTGTTTTTGTCAAATATAATCAATACTTTTGTAACAAAAATCATTATATTCATCCTTAATGTTTATAATAATTCAGTTAAATATTATAAATATTAATTATAAAATGTATATTTTATTTCACTAAGGAAAATTCAGATAATATTAAATATAAAGTCAAACTAAATCTACTTTCACATTTAAATTAAATTTTAACTTGATATTACTTAATGCATTGGTTATCTAGATTGATTTGGAACTTGTAATTAATTATAATTAAATTAAATTGTAATTGTGATTAAATACTTAATTTAAGTTAATTTTATACCTGTATTTAATTAATAAATATTTATTGTACAGACATAACAGATAATGTTGTTTTACTTTTAGACAATTAGATATTTAATTTGAAACATTTGATGATGGAAACGACAAGCTTACTACAGTGATTTATTTTAAGGAAAAAAGATGTTCTTTATTATTAGAAAATTAACTTTTATGTTACTAATTTATTTGAATACATCTATTTTAAGTAAATAAAATGTGATAGGATTTAATTAATACAAATGTAATTTAATTAATATAAACTCTGGCATTAAAACCACTTACTGTCTAATAACGTATGTAATTACTATAAATAATTTAAAATGTAAAACCAATAAATCTTAGTACATAGATACATCGTAGATACAATTAAAATACATACAGTATACATTTTAATAAACAATAACTCTATTTTAAATATAATATTATTCATTAACTTGAATACATTATATTTTATAAATATGAATATTGTATACTTATTATACGTTATAATTAGTTTCAATCAGTGGATGATGAAAAGATTTTTACACACAGGACATTTTTAAATTACCACAATACTCATATTTATGAATCTCTGACTATTCTACACTTGAAGTATGGTTTCCATCATATATTATGACATAACATAAAGAAATGATAGAACTAATTAATTGTTAATTTCTAATGAATATTTACTTGGTAGTTTCTCAATTCCTTTCTTATTTATAAAATGGAATGTCTGGGTGTTAGAACTTGAGCCAAAAATATAAACTGAACATCGACCACATTTTTGGTTATTATTGGGCATTTATTTCAAATATTTTATTATTATGTGTAAGTAAATTTATTTATTAAAAATGCACACAATTTACCACGTTAAATTGAATGGCGTCCTTAGATTTAAGTTTAACATTTTGAAGTATAAAACCTATAATAAATAATACAATAATACATATTATTAATTAGTTAAAGTATATTGTCTAGGTATATGTACAGTACAAATCATAATACATAACTACATACAATAATATGTAATTATACTAAAATTACTTGTTCGGTTTTATTGAAGTAATAATCATTGAACGGAATTCCATTAACTTGTGAATTGGTCGGTCCTTGTTTGATACCAAGTATGGTAATATTTTGTAACACAAAGGGTTCATCAATATAACTATTCATATCTACTCTACTGGAAAATGTAGAGTTTGCAAGGTTAAATTGTACTTTGTTATATGAATCATTTTTCCAAGCATCTTCAAAATAATAGATAATGGGTATTATAAATAATCATTATGACATTATAAGGTTAACAGTTAAAATAAAAACATAAGACTTGTATCAAAATATGTAAAAGTTCACATAATTTTACCTAAAGACTTTCCATCGTCAAAAAATAAAAAACCAGTTGCTTGGTCGTGTTTAGTTGCTGCTAAGAGTTCAAAGTGATTTTTACGACTAAACCAAGTTAAGTAACACATTCAAAAATTATAAAACAAGTAAAATACATTAGCAAAAACAAAAAGTAAGTAGATAATAAATACATAGGTATTGCACATTATTTACCTTAATGTTGTAGTTAAAGCAGGCATTTGTGTGGGTATAATATAACCCCCTCGTACCAGTAAGGGTATAGTGTCGGCAGAAGCTGTTATAACAAAATGATTTCCGTCGCTCATTATTGCAGTTTTGTTGTAGAAATCATACCATATATCTTTTGGGAGATACACATACACATGATGATTTTTCTTGAAGAAATTATTTTAATATATTATTTTTTACATTTATACTTGTATTTTAAACTAGGTACTAGTAAAAAATATTAATAATTTACTAACTTCTTTTAAAACTGGTAGGATTAGTAAGGCTGCGCCCCATAGAAACTGAGTGTCTATGTCATATGTTCTATCATCCAATGGATACCTATTAAAATATAAACTTTAATATAGAGCTTGCATGGTTTTAAATTATTGTCTACAATTACTCAAAAAACAAAGGTCGAACAACAGTTTCTCCATGGACATGAGCTTTCCAAAACAAAGAATACAAATATGGCAATAAATAATATCTAGTACTCAACGATTTTTTGGCAGATAACAAAACTTTTGATCCTAAAGCTGCTGGATCTTGGTCCTAAGAATATTATAAGAATAAAAATGAATTTAAAAACTTTTGTGTATTTATGAAATACATTACTTTCATGTACTGGCCATTATGATTTCTACAAAATGGATAGAAGGCGCCTAATTGAATCCACCTTGAGCACAACTCAACAGTAGTGTCGTGGTGAAAACCACATATGTCTGCCCCGACTAGGGGAATGCCGAATAAATTAAAATTTATTATATCTGATTAAAAAAAACAACAATGTAGTTTTTGATTTATACTCAATGAATAAATAACCTGGTTGAGCAGGGAAGATCTTAAAACAAATGCATGTGAGGTTTAGTCTTAAAAATTGCTGTCTAGGTATAGAAATATCAAACAAATTTACCGAGTGTCGACTGAAAGTCTAATATTATTTAAGATACTTGGAGGTGGAGGTGGGTGCCACACCAGCCACAACCTCTTTCAGTTTATTTGCCAATCCTCATAAGATAGATTACTTTGGTATATTATGACCTTTGTCAAGACATGGGACCATAGCATAATTTGCAAAGGTGGGCAAGTTAATGAAAATAATTAACCGTGACAAGTTAAGTTAATTCAATTAAATTGCCTTCAGTTAAGTTAAAAGTTTACAAAGAAAAAAATTAACTCGATAAGTTCCAAGTTAAGATGGAAAAAAAATTAACTCAGTTAAATCAAAGTTAATTTTTTTTTCAAGCCACAATATTGCCACAATGAGTTATAAATTGCGCTAATATTTTGATTAACACTAACATTTATCAAGACACTGTTGTTAACATTATAAACATAAAACACTAAATTGTTATTATAAGAGCATAGTACATTGTTACCAGCAATTTCAAACTTATATCTATACAAAATTGAATATTCCTGTTTTTCTTTGCATTACCAAAGTTTTTTTAAAAATTAAAATTAACCTAATTGCACGATAATGATGATTAAATATAAAAGGTTGACTAAACAATACAAATTTTAACTGAATAAGTTAATAAGTTAAAAACAAAACTAATTATTTAGGTTAAGTTAAAAAGTTAAAAAATTAATTTTTTTAACTTAACTTTAATTTTTTAACAAGTTAATGACCACCTTTGATAATTTGCATAGAAATGTATTCATTACTTATAGATTAAACAAAATTTGTTACCTGTTATGGATTGCTTCATATCATCCCATGAAGAGTTTATGTCTCCAGTCCAGTGACCAGCATAATGTCCAAAACCAGGATAAGAAGATCGAGAAATGACAAAAGGTCTGGTATTCCTTATATCTGACAATGCACTAACAAAAGTATAAAGTTAAAAATAATAATGCATAGGTACTTGTATAATTTATAATACATTATATGTATTGTATGTATTTAGGTAAATCATTTAATAAAAAAGGTTTGCCACAATTATGTTACATAACAAATCATCTACTAGCATAATAAATGAAAATAATTATTTGTCATGCTTTAAAAAAATATATTTTTTTGATTTTCAATTAACAATATTACTTATGTTTAAATAATCAAATGTATTTAAACTATTCAAAGTTGATATAACACATATAGTTATTATGTATTCAAGTAGTAATAGTAATAGTAGTGTTGTGATTGTGATTTTATTACGATTTATGATTTTCACTTTTTTGGCTATGTCAATTAATTTTTGATTTTTTAAAAAGTTATTTATTTAGGCTTTTGGTTTATATAACTTGGGATTATTTGAGAGAAAAAACTGTGATATAAACTTGGCAATAGTTAATAGTAACAATTATTAATAATAACTAACGTTATAGTAATAAACTTCAACTAAACTATTATACATACAGAGCACAAATAAATCAAACTATTACTCGTGAGTGGACATAGTTTCAGCAAGTCCATATAAATTATGCAAATCATAATGAACACCAGCAAAATGACTTGCAGACATGCAAATAGTCTTATAGTTCAAATGGCCCCCAACTATAGCAGGGATATATTGAGGTGATTCCCAGTGATCAGATTTAAAAGACGAACATCCATTAAAATCTCCATTGACAAAATTAGCCGGTTCATTCATATCCTTTAAAAATAAATAATCAGATAAAAATCATTTTTGTTTTAATATTCAAACTCACCAACCATAACCCATCAAATTTTACAATATTGTAAAAATTTAAAATCTGGTTTTTCCAGAATTGAGTTGCTTTTGGATGAGTGAAATCAGGAAATACTGTTCCAATATCATTCCAAACCTTGAAATATAAAATGTAGATATTTATAACCTTTAATATTGGAGGGGAGTAAAGAAATTCAGTAACTACTACATGTTATTGTTTTCAAAGACTGCAGTTATAGATAACTAATGAACATAACAGTAACATATTTCTGACGTCTCTTACTTATTGATCAAAGTATATGCTTCAATGTTTGCTAAATTGTTGTATTAGGTAATCAAAGAACATAATCATTTTAAATTAAAAATGTTTTAGCTATTCAAATAAATTACGTAAAAAATATATACTTTTCCTTCCAGTGGTTGACCAGCAGAGTTTTTAATAAAAATATTGTCGCTTAGACCATCCTTTAAAGGGACATAAATTGTTCCATTTGATTGTCGTGATTTAAGGCCTGGATCCAAAATAACTACATGGTGCATTCCATTCTAATCAGAATTCAATACAAATATAAATATTTTTTGCAATTTATGATAGTCAGTAGTGTAATTGAAGTGTTGCAAGTAAAGTATTTGGAAAACCAAAAATATTCAAGTTTGAAAGTTTTTAAATTTTAGTTATACTATTTTTCATGTTATTAGATAATTTATTTATCTATTTGTACAATGAATACACCAGTATACAGCAGTTATCCTTGCTTAATATTATTTATACTCAGTTCAGAATTACTTTTAGTTTTAAATCCAACAATATTTTATTAATTTTTTTTAATACAGGGGGTAACACAGGGTTAAAACACACATTATTGTATCAGAATATTGAGATTTGAGGCCATAAAAATTATATTTGTACCAAAATTGTAAATAAAATTATGCCATTGATTATATTTATAAGAACTACGTAGTATATACTTTCCAGTTTCCAAATTATTTGGAAATAAAGCCAGAGCTATAGCTATTTTTCTGTGATAATTATTTGAAAATTAAATAAATAAATAGTTTAACGTTTTAAGTTAAGGGGCCTGGTACAGATTGTTCAATTTTTATGCAATTCTATAAAGTTTGAAAATTATATTTTATATTTTAATTGCCACCTTAAAAATAAACTGTAATACTTTTCCACCAATCTATTTCCCTATACCTATTTAGGAGGGTTAATAGTTAATACTTAAATACTTACGACGGTGTATTTTATTATAATATTATATTTTATAATTTTATATTAATAAAAATGACTTCACAAGAAAAACTCTTATGCCTTGTAGAATTTTCGGATTTTGATGATTATTTTTTCATCTGAAAGAAGAAGACTTCTTACGGACGTCATTGAAGTCAGATTTTTACTTTATTTCAAATAATGGCATAAAATTATTTGTAAAAAAAAGCTTAAAATTGTTTTATTTTTAAAAAACATTAAAATATTGAAAAACAGAATTAAATGAAGCATGTAGAATATCACCCTCTATAAGTTAAAAAGGGTACAAATTTTTGGTTGATTCATCAGAACAGGATAATTATTCTAATAGTGTATTTTTGACTTTTGTATACAAAATTATTGCACTAGGCGCTTTAATATAGTTTATTATCATTATAGTATATAGTATATATTAATTTTAAAACATAATAAATAAATAAAATGTGTAAAACTGGAACTAGGTACCTTGTGTAAACAATTCACGTATTCAGGTAGTTGCTTAAAATTGTTAGAAAGTGTAAAATCATTTTTATTATCCATATAATCAATGTCATTCCAGTGAGTGTCCTGAAATGGTTTATAAATTAGTTGGTACCTATTAATGATTTACTAATAATTAAGAATAAACCTTTATGTACATACAGTACACATAATTTATGGTTATTATAAGTACCTACTACCTAGGCTAGTAGTGTATTACAGAGTAAATCAGTCTAGGGTAGTAATCAGATATTCAGAATACTTTTAAAATAAATTTAAAAGTTATTTAAGTAATTATTATTTAGAATATTTTTTTATTTTTGTATTCCTATAAAAAAAAACCTTCTGTTTATTTACAATTATAATTGTTTTCCTGGTTTTTCTAAAAATGTTTACAATATAATTCACATTTTAAATCAAGTACTTATAAATAACTTAAATTATATAATTATATTTAGAATTATTAAATTAGATATATATGTTAGGGCTCATTTCAAATTTTACTAAAGAAATGTACCTACCATTGGGTTAATATTTTTTTTTTTTTTTATATTGACTTTATTATGAAAAATTACAATCTATACATCGAGTACAATAAGTAATATAAATATTTACAGATAGTTAACAGGTTAAATTATATACATGAAGGGGAAATCACACATTTGTGACACCCCAGAATATTTTAAGTACTTAATCTTAGGTTTTCAGGTCACGGCACCAGTTTCTTTTGAGGCGTCTAGCCGGATTTCCGGGGAGTGTAAGTGAGGCTAGTTCGTTTATTAGTTGATTAGGATTATCTCGTAGTTTGGAGTGGAAGCGCTTGTAGAAGATAG